TGCCGGCAACATCATTTATCAACCGGATCTAGCCCTTCAGTGTCTCAACGATAAATGGGATTCCGTGTATGGGGCCAACACTCTCCATAACCACCCCCTCAAAATGCTGGAGACAGTGTGGCCTTATTGCCCGTTTCTTTCAGTGGGCGGAAGATACTCGGGGTGATGACTTGCCTAAGATGCTTAACTGCACAAAACAAATCATTCTCAACAAGCCCGGCCCGTCAGAAGCCATGAACAAAAGGCTCATCACCATCTTGCCTGCGCTGATCCTGTGTTTACACCGGAGCCAGATACGAGCAACTCCAGGAGTGGCAGAAGCTTGCAATGCCACCGGCCATCGGAAGCATTAAGACCAGGACGATGCCCCTCCTTCACACTGCGCTTCGGCTCGACATTGACACTGCTAAGCATGATTATCATGGCCTTGTAGGAGTTAAATTAGAAAAATGCATTGATCACATTTTGCCGCAGTACACAAGTGCACTCTTTTTCGGCTCTTGGCGGTTTTGTAAAACCTATTCGCAAAGCTTTATAAGAGCCTGCGTAGACATATATTATGTTATAAAGGGTGGATGAGCATCGATCCGACCACGGCGGCAAATGGAGTAGCGCAGGGCTGCTCACTCTCACTAATAGCTATTAACGTCCACACCAAGGCCTGGGTTCACCTCCTTGAGCATCTATGTCGACGATGCGTACATCTGGTGCCATGTTATCGATGTCGACCTCCTTTCCAGGGCCATCGAAGTGACTAAACTCTGGGATAAACTCAATGGCCAGAAGCTTAATGATGGCAAGTCAACCGTGTGGGGATTGTGACAACAGATCGGTCGTTGATTGTTGCAACTTGTTGATCCAAAGGGATTTGCCAGTGACCAGTGGAGGTGTTCGGACTGGTGGAAAGTTTTGAGGATACAGTGGATTCCAGCTCATGTCTGTGAAAATGTCTCAGCGCCTTTTCTCGATCCAGCAGCACTGCATCAATTGGGTGCGACAGTACAACATGTCTTGAGGAACCATGACGCTGGTCGTGCCGCGAAACAGACAGCTCGGTCCATCTCACCCATCCGACCTGATATGATCCCTGTCATGCATGCGGCAACCGCACTGCACCACGAATGGCTCGTCAAATTGCACTGCCAGTACAGACTAATTTAATGAGGGCTTCAAAGCGTCCAATGAGGGGCAAACTACTCTGCAAGAGATCACGGTTGACCAGGCGCGTGCTTTGTACCCAAGTTGGCCTTGGCAATCATGCTTTGCTCATTTCGGCTGGAAACCAAAAATCCCTCAAGGGATTCCTCCACCCAGACGGTGGAAACACCATCCCGAAGACTGGCACAATATTTGCAGTTTTTTGCGCTCCCTGCAATGGAGAGATCAGAAAGGGCAGGCGGTCGCACTTTGTGAGTTGGCCATTGCCTTCCACTGCGGAGGCTATACACTCAAAGGTGAGGACGACTTGCCTACAATCTACTCCACCGTTTGCCGCGTCCGGCAAGCTGTGCAGGTTCTGTTGAAAGCTATATAAGATGACAGATCACAGCCTTGTCCAGGCTTCTTTTCAACCACCTATGTCAAGAGCTGTGGGCGTGTGTTGCCGCAAAGCGCAATTGTTGACGCCTTTCCGTTCATTTCTAGCTCGAACATTGTCTAGTGGGCCCGGCCGTACGATTGAGTCGTGGCGTGTGCCATTTTCATTTTGAGTGTGCTGCCATTCCGGTCAATGCATCGGGGAATCGTGCATGTTGGGACCAAAGAGTCCCGCATGCCATCGTCGCGCTCAGATCGTCCGATGAGTGAGGTATATATAGAGATATATAGAGTAGGCCTCAAACAAACAAAGTTACAAACACATATAAAAGGTAGATCTTTGGGGGGGTAGCATATATATATATATATAGCTGCAAAGACTTCAAGCAGGTAGGCAAACAACTTGAACAAAGGATCTGAATCAAGCCTCGCATAGAAGAGGAAGGCTGGTGAAGCCCACAATCCCAATTGATGCGCCTTGTGGGCCTCCATAGTCGAGGTACAACGTGGCTTGATAGACACATCAATCACTGTATACAATGGGGCAGTTCAGCCTCTTGGTCAGCATCCACAAAGAAAACCTGCGTCAACAGGTCATGACATGCATCATGAACCATCATGAGTCTTCTCTTGCTGCAATCCATCCGTTTACTTGCACTTCTGACATCTAACGTAGACCACAGGTCGGACACTTGAGAGCTTTTGCCCTTCCTTAGCCCTTGACTTCAACACCATTTGCTGGCCCTGCAGTCAGGAGCTGTCTGACAGCCTTAGCTGATCGGTTTGCATCACGTCGCACATGATCAATCTGCCTCGTGTCTCCTGAGAAGATGTGTTGTCAAGAACTGCAATCATGGGCAAGCTGGGCAAGCAACCATTTGCGATGGGCCAAACCAGGTCTGGACAAATGCAATCACCTCAGGGCTAGTTTTGAGGTTCCAGGAAAGTGTTCAGATGCGATGAACCCTTTGAGTCAAGAGAACCATGATGCATAGTAGGTTGTTGTTATTCAAAGTCCAGCCAAGACAGTAAGTTGCTCTTCATAATCAGGACACATCTGTTCTACATCGCATCAAGGCTCTTATATGTTTCATGTGCGTCTTGCAGAATTGAGAAGCCAGCAGCTAGGGGAGCAGCGGTCGCACTATCCTCTAAATAAAGTGGTTCAGCTGTTGTGACAGTGCAAAAGTTGACAGATGAAGGAAGGACAAAGTCGAAGAGAGTTGGAAAGGAATTCATGATTGTGCCAGGGTCAAGTTGAAGCGCGCCTGAGCCCTAGCAAACGGGATGCATTCACCATCCATGGCAGCCATAGCTGCCATAAGCAAATGCAATCAGGCTTGCAAACGCACAAAAAGCTTGTAGATTCTTGGGCGACCACATTGAAACCAACAAGCATCTTGACTTTCTTTCCATGAGGCCTGAAATTTTATAGAGATGTGAGATGTGAGAACTCTCCAGGTCTTATTTTGGCAAGGAAAGTAGAGCTGTCTTGAAGTGACCCATACCTTGTTCAAGCTTCCCCCCTCATCCATGCTAAACACTTGCCAGCTCAACTGAAATAGTCCAAGCCAAAACACAGAAAGAAAGGCTACAATCAAAGCTGTGTAGAGTATGGAGTCAACTCGGCATGCACCAAAGCTGGTTGTGGAAAACCCATGTGTAGTTTATGGCAAGAGCCTCAGAGTTCGCTCCAGTTTTCAATCACGCACCTGTTGGCTTCTGCACTCTCTCTGGGCCTAGACTCAAATTGTCAAACGGTTGCATCAGTTGGCATGGGGCAACAGCGCCCTTTACCTTAGAAGGTGTCTGGAGAGCCTAAACCAAAGCCTTCTAGCATCTGCAACACCGACAGACCCATCATTGAAACTGTCAACTGTGTAGACTAGGCTGTTGCGTCTTTTGCCCAAGCTCTGTCACTTTGCATCTTAAGGGCTGGACATGCCAGCACATCTTCCTGGACGTTTGTCCAATGTGTCAAGTCATCTTTTACAATGAGGTTCTGGTAGAACTGCTGCGCAAAAATGCTGCTGCCTGCGAAAACATGCGAAGTTATCCAAAGAGGACTTTTCAGTTTGAAACAAAGCTGTAGGTTACACTTTGGCTTTTGATGTTGTATAGTATCTAGTGCATCCAAACACTTCAGTGGTCTAAGAGAGGCACCAGGTGCTTCAGATGAACTGTGATGCAAGCAGCCAGTCTTGTCCGGTGGCATCGCACCAGGCTCTTCATCTGGAAGCGAAACCTGTAAAAAGGAGACGTCAGCTTGAATCTGCTGACACTCCGAGATGGACTTGGAAAGAGCTGCACCATCCTGGTAGGTAGCGTATGCGTCCAAAACACATTTGATTCTGATCAGTGCATGGTACTCCTGTTGCTGCTGCTGTGACTGTGACAATGCCGACTCCTTGGTCTGACCGGATGCAAAAAAGGCATTGTGATTTGACTCGTAGCATTTCACATAAGCCGCACAATCAGCCCTATGCGCGATCCTATCACATGCTGCATCTTCCACCTTTCGCTGTAAGTCCTGACAAAGGAGTTTCTTTGAAAGATAGGTTTCCTCTTTGCCACCCTGCCCATTCTTCCTGCGATCTTCACCGTAGCAATCTCGCAAAGTGTGGAGTTTCAGACTTGTCGCGTTGGCAGATGCATTAAATGCATGCTCCCATGAGATCAGTTGTGAGGCAAAGTGATCTCTGAAATGCTTGATGTATCCTCTTACGGTGTTGTACTGCAAAGAGTTTGCACGATGTGCGCAAAAGCCGCTGACGGGAAACTGATTCAGAGCGTCAAATGCTCCCTTTCGCTGTAGCTCTCTTGAACTCCTTGCTGCAAGCTCCTTCTCGCAAGAATCAAGAATGATCTTAGAGCCAGATTCCTCTAATCGGCAGTTTGCATGCACTTGAGCCAAGCTGTCTATTGATTGCAATCCTGTGTGCGAATCGATGTCATAGAGTCCTGAACATGACACAAAATCCGTCCATGCCTGATTGATGGTTTGCTGAGTCAATTTGGATTGGTTACGCACCATTGATTTCATCTCAGCCACCATTTTGTCGATGTCAACTACTGTCTCTGCCAATTCTGGTGTACCCCGCTGCTTCTCCAAAGCGAGCAGCGCAGTCTCAATGTTTTCTAAGCTTATTGGAATCTTGGATCGAAGGGCTGTGTGGCTTGATCGAGTTGATGCTGTTTTTTGCAGCCATCCCGACCTCCAGGCTTGCAATGAAGAAAAGGAACAAGGAGCCATATGTGCGACACACTCTCGCGTTTGAGAGAGTGCCCTGCATTCTCATCTGAGGCAGCTCTGCTGCGACGACTTTGCTGTTCTGGAGCCAGAACAGCTATCCAAACCGAAAGGGGCATGCTCAAGAACATACAGTAACTACAGCTCCATTTGACAAATTCAGTTGATGATTCTCAGTCTTGATGATGAACCTAAAAAGGTATGCCGGTAAAGACCGTGCTCTTATGCAGAATGATGCCGTAAGTATGGTGCCGCTGGCAGGCAGGCTTCAAGTTTTAATCGCACACAGCCAAAGTCTACTTTCTCTTGATGGGGCATCATCCTGCTACTGCTTTGAGTGATGTCAAAGGACCAGTCCATGACATGTCTGAGCAGTTCAATTCACAGTCTTGACTACTCACATGTCGTTTTCTGCGTAATTCATCAGGTCAAAACAAGAATGTTGTGAGCAGCCGCCCCAAAATCTTCATGCAAACACACAAGCACAAAAATGGAACAAAGCAATGCTTGCGCCTGGCACTTGCACAAAGATATGCATTATTTGCACTCTTAAGCTCCGTGTCAACAACCCACCAGACCCCGGGCCCCAAGTTAAAGAAACTGCTTCAATTTCAGAAGTTCAGCTGGTTTCCTGTGCACTGATGTCTCCCCTTGCCGCCGATTGGCGTCCAAGCAATGGTGAAACATTGTATAAGTAATCATGAAATGAAATGTGTTCAAAAGCATGCCGGAGCAGGAAGGTCTTCTGGAAGTAAAGGATAACGCTCTTTGAACAAGCTTCGGACGCGCTGCATGCGCCTTTCACACCATGCGGTGCTCCCTCGGAAGTTCCAAAACGATGTCCCAACACCTTTGTCTTTCAGTGGGTCATACTCCAAATGTCCTTCTCTCTGCCATTTTGCATAGTTGTTGATCCCTGCAAGATCGTCTAAGAAAACCTCGCCGGCAAAATCGGTGCTGTAAGTGCAGGAGGATGATACTGACAAATCATCACACCTGCCGCCAGGATACTGCGTCATACATGCCTCGTCCTACAGGGAACGGGGTTCCTTCTGCACATGCATTTTTCGAAGTATGTGTGTCTGCTCTCAGAAGGAGAAGGCTAACAATAACCAGCCTTGATTCTGAAACTGAACACACATAGGCATCATCGACCTGATGATTGCCAAACTCCTGGTCTGCACTAAGTGAGTCAAGTGGCGACGCCCCTACCAGCCATAAGACGTCGTTTAAGCGAAATCCATCTCCCCTCCCAACACTGTAATGCTATCAGCAATCTGACACATACAAAGCTTCTGATATCCCGCAATCAGAAAACCTTCAATAATGCTGTTAAGGTAAAGGTATCAAGCAGGGAACCAGTTCACAATCGAGTCAGAAAGGAACATAGTTCTGTTCCAGTTTGTTTCCTTGACAGGTCTTGATAAGGAAATCTGGTAAAGAGCTGGAGGAAGCCTCTTACTGAGAACTTGCATGTACTCAGCAAGCATGAGGAAAATACAAAATAACAATACGGGGACATGTATATATGCTAACCCCCGCACCCCAAAGATCTACCTTTTAGTTTCCTCTCCGGAGTTCTTCCAAAGAGATACACATTTTGGGGTTGAAGTTCAGAAGTTCTGTGAGCAACCCATGCTGTAAAAGTGATTCATACAGCAAGGGACCAATTCCAAGATTTTCACCAACTGTCCTCCGCATAATTCCCAGTTCGCTGGGACTGTAACATAAAGGGTTGGAAAAAACGGACCCCAACTAAGATTTTGTCGGATTCCAGTGGTGTGAAACTCCTACGTAGGCTAGGCTACTGATTCGATGCATTGAATGCAGCTGTTAAATAGAACAAATTTTACTATGAAGCAGAACCATTCCTTTCACAACTGTCAATTTTTGCAAAAAGAGGTTGCAGAAAATAGAGGAGCACATGATGCGAAACACATGTATACAAAGATGGTGCTATTTGGGTTTGAACATCCCAAACTAGAAGCAACAACGCCGTGCAACAAAAATGGGTTTATGTGGAGCAGCAAACTAATTGGCACGGACGCACATGGGTTTCAATTGGTCCCTAGATTTTGCCTGTACCGTCTGATAGACACACCGAACACACAAACAAACCCAAGAAAGAAGTGGTACCTTCTGAGTACATGATATGATATGTGATTTCCACCATCATTAGCTTTCTCCTGCGTTCAATGCTGCATAGCTTGAGCTGGGGGGGCCGGAGCATTTCGTTCGGGAACGAAATTGCATATTCTGCATCACGAGGTGTGTCTGGGAGAAGAATCGGGGTGAGAGAAAACATTGACAAACACACTGTTTTTCATCGTATTATTTGCATCACCAAGTTCATGAAAACGAAATTTCTGCTTTACTTAGTACATGTTTCATGATTGCATCATTTGCGCCAGTTGATTGTAATGGCATCGCTTTTCGTTGTATATTCTATGTATTTTGCCACTGCTTTCAGAGTAACAATTTTTCCCGAAGGAGGTAGTGTTGAATACTATTTCGGTTTCTGAAACATGTACACATGGATATAACGTGGACCCTGTGAAACATGTGCAATTCCCAAGTGGTCGAAAAATAGAGTTATATATTCTGCAAAAAGCAACTGCGGGCCCCTGAAACATGTACAATTTCGAGAGGGTCGCAATAGTGTCTGTGCATTAGCAGTTCCAAACTGCCTATACATCCACGTGGCGGCTCATTGTGCAAAAACTATTTGGCTTTCAATGCATATGGATTTTTGCCGCTGCGTTCAATTTATCAAGGCTTTCTGCGGTGGTGTTGCCGTAAGGTGGGAAGGGTCGGGAGGCGCTGAGGGTGTGGCCGGATGGACTTGGCCAGGCTGTGTAACTGGTGGAAAAGCCGAGAACGGTTGCCAAACTCCTTGGTTGGGGTCCCATTGTGCTTGTGTCGGCTGCGGTATCGGCTGCGGAGATGGTTGGGTGGCTGGGGCAGGCGCAGGTTGTGGTGGGGCTGTTGCTGGAGAAGAAGGTGGAATGGGTTCGTGTGGAGGTAAAGTGTATGGAAAAGGAACTGTGGGGTGGAGATGTGGTGCATGTGGTAGAGGTGGCGGTGATTTTTAAAATTGGGCCGTAGGCGGCCATGTTGGTTGCAGAAATGGTGGCATAGTGGCTGGCATGTGTGGAATCATGGATGGCATATGTGGTTGTGTCTGTGGGAATGGAAAAGTCGGTGCTGTTGTGGGAGGTGGCTGATGTGTCAGGTATGGGTAAGGCCACGGGATGTAGCAGCGGCAGTCCCCGTCAGCTGCAAAATGGCGCCAGCGCAGCGCTCCGGCAGCTAAGGAAATGGTAGTGAGATGAAATGAAAAGCCTGCGCGCAGTGAATCTACGTCGTGGAAAGTCAGTGGTGAAAATGTGATCATAGGTCGACTGTACACGATTGAAACTCAAACGCAAGCTGCAAAACAGGATGGTCAGTCGAAAATCTAGTGATTCAGTAATTGAGTAAGGTGGAACCGTATTAGCCCGGCGGCTCAAAAGGCAATTAATTCAGCGGTGAAAAGAAGTCGGTTAAGAGAATCCAACGAGTGGTGGAAACGAAAAAGGCTGTTAGTGAAATTCCTGCATGGCTTCGGCGCCCCAGTCACGCTATCACACCCAGCACCCAAGTGGGACGGCTGAGCGGTTCACACTCTGACATTGGTTTTCAGTTAGCTCAATTCCCACGTCGAGAAGGAAGGTGAAGGAACGGAAAGGTGCATGGGTCCGCAGAAAAGTATTGTTGAACAAGTGTTAATGCACATCTGCAATGACTCAGCGGCAGCTCACGAGCGGTGGAAACCTGTTTGGGGGAAAAAATCACATGAAAGACCATGAATCAAATCAAAGGATTGGACGGCTTGGTCAACAGCTTCATTGCAGGTACAAGAGCCGGTGTCCCAGCTCTCTTCCAACTGATTTCGTAGCTTCGTTGGCACGGATAGGAAATCAGTCGTGCCCCCTGCAGTGTGGCATGGACATGGAGAAAAGTAGTAAGACCCTTCGGCACAGGGGTTGACACACACTTCGAACTTCGAACTTGGAGTTTCAGTTAATGCGATCTCCCGAGGAAAGGAA